GTGTTAAAGTAAACAAAATCGTTCTATATTAAAATTAAGAATTCTTTTTTCTAAATGCACGGATAATTTATTAATAGAAATTATTTAAATAATTTAAATTTAAAATATACATTTTTTTACTTAGATTTGGAATTTAAGTTTCATTCTTTTTTTTATAACACACGTTTGATGAATGATGAAATCGCGTGACGGACTTAAATATTTCCGTTGTATCATATAAGATCTCAAGTCCGTCAAAGTCGCGTGAGTCTGTCATCTATTGGTGCTCAAATAAAAGAAATATTTTTAACTTTTGTTTATATATAGTATTATTATTAGTTACTAAATTTTTAAATGTTATACTTGCGTTATTCAATTTTTATTAACTGATTTTACAATAACGTTTAATTTAATCGATAACCTATAATTGTTAATAAATTTTCAAATTTATTAATGATTAATTAATCAGGTATAGGTAACGAGTTGATGGAATATATAAATTATAAAGTCTTGCAAATATAATTACAGACTGGTGCATATGCGAAATAGTATTCTGAACAGAGTATATATACTATATATAGTTTGCTTAACGAACACAAATTTCCACTGAAAGTTCAGTTTATTATCATATATGTATGCATTGTGACAAATTTCGTGTGAACAATCATAAAAGTAAAAAATTATTCAAATTTAATTAAGCAGCTCCTAGAAGCAAAAAGAAAAAATTTTTTATACTTGTTCTTTTTGAACAGAAAAAATGTAATATTTTTCTCAATGTAAAGCAAATTTTGTTTATAAAAATAAATAATAATAAAAAAGAAGTAAAATCCAGTTTGAAATATTAAAAGTAAAAAAAAGTTTTCACTATCGCACATGAGAATCAAAAAGGATATATAGATTTTGCATGTTACAAAAATGTGGAATGTATTTCGAGGTGTTTCGTCTATTTGGTTTGGAAAATATTGCTGTTTTATGTGTGACATAGTGCAACACCTGCGGGAGTGAACTAAGACTTTGAAAGTTATGACGCAGTGAGTTCGTTGTGAGTCGACTGTGAAACTCGCATGCCATCTACCACGAGGTACATGCCAAAGATACATTAATATTAATGTTCTGGGATTTAGTGCAAGATGTATGCATTTGTATAACAAATACAGTTCTCAACCGCTCACTTCACTACCTATCCACCTACTATTCCTGAATTTTAACAATATTTTCATATTATATGTGATACGCGCTCTACAATAGAAAAAAGGGATAAGATGCAAAAAAATTAAAGGTTATGTTTATGATTTCAAGTTTCTTTTTAATTAAAAAAATAAAAATTGGTTTTAAAAAATAGAAAAGACCCCACACAAGCTATATAGGAAAAATCTTTGGGTCGAATTTTTTTAAACTTTGTAGTTTTGTAGCTCATCACCTCCTGAACAAAAAATGTTAATGGCCAAGCCTCCAAAAACAAAGCCCTTCTGAACTGTACCCTTTGGCTCAAGGCTTCGCTTCGACCCAAGGCTTGGTTTTGGCCCAAGAGTTGGATTTGACTCAAGGCTTGATTTCGACTCAAGGCTTGGGTTTGGCTCCAGACATGGCTTTCAAGCCTTGAGCGAATGCCGAGCCTTGAGCCAAACCCAAGCTTTGAGCTAAAGTCAATCCTTCGGTCGATGCCAAGTCTTGGGCCAAACTCAAGCCTTGAGCCAAACTTAAGCCTTGAGCCAAACTTAAGCCTTGAGCCGAAGGGACTTAGTTTTTTTTGCCTACTTTTTATGCTTTTAACGTAGTACAGCTCAGAAGGGCTTCGTTTTTGGAGGTTTTGACATTAACATTTTTTGTTCAGAAGGTAATGAGCTACAAAACTACAAAGTTTAAAAAAATTCGACCGAAAGATTTTTTCTATACAGCTTGTGCGGGGTCTTTAAAACTGGAAATTAATTTTTATTTTAAATCCTAAATAGAATCAAGTATACGAGTACGGGAAGCATAAGATAGAAAAGGATAGAGACTATTTCTAACCTTTTCTTTCTCATGCTTCCCGTATTCGTAAACGACTTGATTCTACTTAGAGGCTGGCTACACCGAGAGCCAATCAGGAGGGTTAAATTTAATCCTTTGGCGCACTAAACAAGTGGACTAAATTTTGCGTCTGCGCAGAATGTTTGTGTACATCTGCGACCATGGTTGCGATAGCGACAAGTTAGAAAAGTTAGGTTAGAAAGATGACCACGTGGTCGCCAAAGCCAGTGAACTTTTCAAACTGGTCCTACTGCAACCATGGTCGCAGATTTACACAAACATTCTGCGCAGACGCAAAATTTAGTCCACTTGTTTAGTGCGCCAAAGGATTAAATTTAACCCTCCTGATTGGCTCTCGGTGTAGCCAGCCTCTTAGGCCTTTAATGAAGAATCAAGAATCCAGTAGAACGTCCGAAATATGCCATATATTTGTATTTTTGTCACCTGCCTCACCCTGCTATTCTCTATTCTGACCCCTCTCCCATCATGTATCGAAAAAAGTTACCATTCCCTGCAAAGTGTCACAATTCAGATGTTCTACTTATTGTCAATAAACCATTGATCATATTCTTTATCTTTAGTCTCGATATTGGTTGTTCTGACACTTTGTTTAATCAAGAAGTCATATAAGAAAGAAGAAGAAGAAGTCTCGATATGCCACACTTATTTTTCTCAAATTTGAAAATGTATTTAAATTTTTCTTTTTGCAGATTCTAATATCCTTGATGGCTTATGGTGTCACCACGAAGTAGTATAAGGAGACGTAACGCCATGCATTCAAAGCAACCCCAAATGCGTGTCCTAGAGTTACTAAGGTTTTCGAATAATGCTCTTGTAGCGCCTCTACTGAGATAAATCGGAATCAAAATATGTCGTCTGCTATCGCGTAAACAACTATGGGCGTTACGTCTCCTTATACTACTTCGTGGGTGTCACGTACTTCAAAGAGAAGGGCAAAAGTTACAAAGGTTATCTTGAAGGACACAGAATTCTTCATATTCATACTTTTTAGAACTCGTTCTATTTTTACGGTTAATTTCCTTTTTTTTGAATGAAAATTTAACTTGAAAGTAGGGATCTCCGAGGGCTATTTAGTTTGAAAGAATCTCCTTGAAGCTGAAGATTCGTTATTAAGGTAAATATTTTAATTTATTGGGAAAATTTTATTACAAAAAATTTAGTTGTATTTTTTGACATGACAATGTTTTACTCCAAAGTCCAGGGAGTCAGCCATAAAAATTGGCGTTTATATTGACGGTCAGAACTCGAAAACTGAGTTGTATTTTCAAGATTTTTGTGTTATTCGATTACTTTAGGTTTAATCTCGATGCCACACTTATTTTTGTCAAATTTGGAAATGAATTTTTTTTATAGATTTCTACATTACCGACCAGTTAAAGATTTAACATGTTATAAAAATCTTATAAAATATATTTCAATTAATTAAGAAAGACGTTGGCACGATTAAAATTCTCCGTCCGTTTAAAGAATAGAGATTTAATTTTTTTATACAAATCCAATTTTTTTTTAATTTTAGAAATTTATAATATATTTATGAGACTACAATTTATTAATAGAATTTATATATATAGCTATATAACTTCACAAGTAATTTGTAGAAAGTTTAAGGATTTCATATAGTATATATATATATAAATGCCCCTAAAAGTTGTATCTTTCGCTTTTATCGTGGTCCACCTACTGCTTTACTTTGAGTTTCCAAAGTAACTTCAGGTTCTCGCTGCTAAATTATGGGAAGGTCCAGGTTAAAATTTATATTGTGTGAAACTCACTTAGAAGACCGCAAATGTCTGAAAACTTGTGTATATTATGTGGATAAAGATTTTTCAAAATACAGCGAAAAAAATATGTCATTAAAATCAACGCAAACAAAATGAGAAATTAATTTTTATTAACTATACTAGAATTTATAATATTTTGATATAAATTATATTGGAAAAATGTTCTAATTACTGCGCGGTTCGAGTCAATACACCATTGAAATAGAAAATTCGACATTTCTATTTGTATAAAGTCAATTTAAGACTTATTAAACTAAAAGCTTATGTTATTATAGATATTAAACAAAATTTTAAACTTTATAAAAATTGATTATTTACACAAATATGAGAAATTAAAACTAATACCGTAATTTTCTATTACGGCGCGTTTGTATCAATTACGGTGACCAAAATTACGTGTATCTTGAAGATACTTTGCCCACCGTAATTGGAGTTAATGGAAATCTTAAAAATGTTTAGCGAGGGAAAAAATTTGATCTCAAATAATTAAATTAATAATTTTTTAAATGTGCATCTTTATTAGTCATTGTATCAAAAAAAGATTAAAATAATTTTTTTAAATCATTTTGCAACAATTATATTAAATATTAGAATAATAATAGTTATTTTTTATGATCGCGCCGTAATTGATGCACTTACCCTATTACATTTAAATAAATATAATTTCCCTACAGAAATAATCCAATATTGTAAAATTCATAATTAAATAAAGAATATGAATTAATAATTCATATTCTTTTTCAACTAACTAAATATAAAATCCCGTTAAAATTGTTTCAGTATATAGATTAAGTAATTAAACCTTTCAATATATATATATATATATATATGAATATTTCAATATTATTTTGTTTATATAGTGCTCTTATTTTATTTTATATTTTGAAATATCTTGAAATTTTAATTAATAATAACCATATTTTTAAATGAATTTAAAGATTGAATAATATATATAAAAATGGCATTTTTAGAATTATTCTATTGTATAAAATGAAATACAAAAATTAATAGTTTTCTAATATAATAGAAGAAATAATGCACGTGATGTAGTGGCAAAAAAAAGTCCTATTTTTTGAGGGTTATAGTTAAGGGGGAATGCGTGACGTCATATAGAAAAGCTTTACTCAACATGACATTTTTGTGAGGGTGGCGGGGATGAGTTTTACTTTGTGTAGAGTGGGGGGGAGAAGGCATGGAGAAGGCGCAGTCCCGCGCTATCGTTCGTGTTGTTAACACGTCGTGTTGAAAAACGTGACTGTTTACATATAGTGTTATTGACATTGGATCATAAACCCCCCTTAAATTTTTCCGATTAATTTTTCAAAAATATTAATCTCAGTGGTGAATTGTTAATTAAATTAGTGTTGTTGTTGAAAAGTCTTTTGCGCGCGCTTTTTTCTATAAGTGTATAATAATTTATTCTCGTTTTAATAATAAATGAAAACTTTCATTAAAATTTAATTTTTACAGTGAGTGATTTGTGTCTTGTGGCAAAAAAAAAAAGAGGAACAATTGGACAACAATAAGAAAACAATGTGTTCAAAAGTGTTAACAATGTGTCTACCGGCTTTTCTTTTTTTGATTGGCATCGCAGGAGGACAAGTATCGAGTGAAGGCATTAAGAGAAAAATCGAAGATGATCCCGATTTGTCTCAGGTAAGAATTTATATTCATTGTAAAATATTCGGTCAACCATTACAAATTTACTTTTTTTCCCCGCTTGCGGCGAGTAGTGTGACATTCAAAATAAATCGTATAGGTTAGGACAGCTGCTATTCTCGCATGAATTTGAAATGCATTTTATGTATTATTAAAATGTTCTTTTTACATTTGTTTCCTTTGTAAATTTTATTTCGAAAAATAATTATTCAATTTTTTTTTCTATTTAAAATTGTTTCTAAATATCACTTTTTTTCTATAAAAGAAATGACTAATATTTTGTCAGGTATACATATATATATTTATAAAAACCTGCAATTTGCAAAGTCGAATATAATGATACCTATAATTTCTTTCTCTTTTACGAACACGGAAATCATTTCCTGGAAGTGATGTTTCGGAAAGGGAATGATTGACAATTGACCAACTATAATAGCGATTTTCAACGTAGTAATTCTCAATGTAAAAATCAGTTTTGAACTTATATTTACGAAATAATTTTTGTATGTCTATAAAAAAAATTTGGTAATAATTTTTTTAATTTAGAATAATTCTTGAAATAAGTTTAATATAAAAATTGCTAAAAAAAAGTGATATTTTGTAATTTAGAAAATTATTTTATTTATTAATTTTATTTTTTCACTCCCTTTAATATTTTATTTTTCTTATTAATAAAGAATGATTATTTTATTAAAAGGGAGGTTAAGTATGCATAAATCTTAACTTATACCTTTAATCTTGAATCCCTATCTGTACAGCTATATCTTTTCTAATCAATACTCCCGGCTGCAATACAGAAATTTTTTCTGAATTATAATTTATGTGTCGCTTCATCTTCCCCCCCCCCCAACCCCTCAAGCTACTATACAGCTGATAATAATTAATTGACACATTTATATTAAAAAAAAAAAAAAAAGTGGTTGGCGCATACAAAAATTTATGTTGTATGGAAAAAAATTAATGTATATTTATTGCATATATACAGTGTATATGTTTATATACTTCATCACTGGCTTTGCGTGCTAAATATGAATTTAATCTAGTGTTTACTCAAGTGTATTTAAAATTTCTCATGCAATCGGTTATAAATGAAAACATTTCATCGAACACGATAAAACTATACCTGAAAAGCTTTAAATGTATATGTGTCATTTAGCATTCATTAAAACTTGTACTTCACGTACTAGTTGTTTCTCCCTTGTTTTTCACCTCTGGAGTTCATCTCATGAATAATCATAAAACATTAAATTAACAGCAATTGTGATTGAAAATAAAAGCTAACGTTTAATAATAATAATTGTTTTTCTTTATTATAGTACAACTTTTACAATATTGGTCAATATTTATTGTGCAAAGTTAATGATAATATATTCATTTTAAAAAATTTTCAACTTTTAATAAACAAAAATTTAAATTTTGAATTTTAATTATATTTTTTTAATTTTTTATTTTAATTTTAATATATTTTAAAAATTTAAGAAAACAAGGTCGAAATCTCACCCCCTTAAATTTAATTTGTTTTTAATATTCAGGATCAATACATTTTTTATGTATTTAAGTTCATAAACGTTGAGTTGATGTTATCCATCAGATTTTCGAGTTTATATATGTTCTTTCTTTTTTTTGAGCTTGTGCAAACATAAAAAAAAATCACTAGTCATTGCTCTTTGCAGTTTATTCGTAAATATGAATGCAAAAATATAGTATGTCACACAAAAAGGGATGGACATTTGCATCTCTTTGCTTTCAGTTTTTTCATGGCTATTTCTTCATTGCATAAAAGTCAACAAAATACTTAAAATGTAGGCTCAAAATTCCAGATGATTTTTTTGTTTGTAAATAAATAACAAATATTAAAATAAAAAAAAAAATTATTAATAATACTTTTTCAAGTTTGTGACATTGTTGCATATATTTCACAGAAAGAAAAGTCTTGTTTGTAGCTTGTTTTTTCGCTGTTCTTTTGTTTGTCCTCGTCTAGTTGGGCTTTATGTTGCGCACCTTAAATCAAAAAATTTAATTTAAGAGAAAATTTTTTTTATTTTAACAGTTTGATGGTATAAAATCGAATAAATAAAAAAATCTTTTTTTATTAGTTTCATTAGTTAAAAATATCATCTTGACAATTTTATTTTGTCACGATTCATTTGAAAAGAAAGTCATTTAGTCGAATCAATTTGATTTTCTTCTTAAAGAGCCCTGAAAGAAAACTTTTATCTCACCGCATTTACTTAAAGTGGAAACCATTGGATATAAATAGGGTTTCATCGAAATCTCTCTCCTGTCTATATAATGGTTTATATTGAAGCTTTAGAATCTTGTGTATAAAAAAATATTTTCTCAAATTATCCCCTATTTAAATTAAAATTCATTAAAAATAATATTACAAATTCAGGTCTCGGATTATACGACTTTTTAGTTTTTTTTCTACTTATTTCAATAAGATGCGACTTTTTCGACTTTTTTTTAAATATTTTTTTATAAAATTCTTAAACAAAATACGATTTTTTTAGTATACAATGCAGATCTTCTTCAGAACTTCTTTATTTCAATTATTTAACAAATTTTTAACTATAATTCTTCTCTAAATTCATTATTTTCAATTATATTCATTAAATTCTGGACAATTTAATAATTTTAAACTATTTTTCAATTAAAATTTTTTTAAAAATGAGTAAGTAAAAAAAATTATACAAAAAATTTTTAATTCAAAATCACTTAAAATTTAATTATTTGCAAAAATTTCAATTATTTTTAATGATTTTTATAATATTCTTTGAAAATTCAATTAATTTTAATATTTAGTATAGATATTTTATTTAAATATTTATTTAAAAATCTGTAAAACTTAATTATTACCCGAAATTTCTTTTTAATCAGCAAAATTAAAAACTATGACAAATTAATTCGAACACGGAGAAAAATGAGTTTACTATTATATGGATAGCTAATTTTTAGCTACAGTAGCTAATATTTAGCTGTTACAGCAAATTATTTTAGCTATAGTAGCTAATTTTTAGCTGTATTAGCTAACGAAAATTGCTGTCCATATAATAACAAATAGGGTTAGCTAAAATAGCTAAATTTTAGCTAATATGGCTAACTTTTTTTCTCCAATAAATTCTTTAAATGAGACTTGAAAAAATTATAAAAATAGAACTTTAAGAATTTTTTTCAGAAATTTGTCCTACTTAAATAAAATTTTGAAAATTCGTCTTACGATTAGTATTCGATTCTGAAATATTCGAAATAAATTTTCTTAATATTCATATACAGTGTGATTTTTATGTTTCGGACCCCCTAAAAAATTTTTTTTTAATCTCATTTATTTCGTTTTTTAAAAAAATGAAATGGAATTAAAAAAATTTTAGGGTGTCTGGAACATAAAATTCACCCTGTAGAATTATTCTCATTACAGAATTAATAAAATGAATTTATTATCTAATAACATTAGCTATTTAAACTAAAATATTTATTAACTAATTAAATTTTGTTAAAATAAAAAAAAAACTTTTTCGATTTTTTTGGAATATAAATCGACTAAAACGACTTTTTTGTGTTTTTCGATTTTTCTACTTTGACAAATGTGAAAACTAAATCGGTAAATTTATTTATCAAAATTGTTTTATTTGGGTGTAACTCAGTTTGAAAATTTGGAATTTGCTAAGAAAATTTTGCTTGAGAAAGAATAAACGAATTTAATTCCTAAGTCTTTTACTCCTTCCGTTGCTATCTCTCCTTATCGTCTTCTCTCGCTTCTGAACCGGATATTTTTAACAAGCAGTTCGTGCCAGAGACGAAACAATAACGTATGTTGTACTGCTTACCAGACAACTTTCACATAGAAAAAAGAACATAAAAATAAAAGTGTGCAAGTTTTGTTTTCTACAATTAACAAAAGTCTATTTGTTGTTCGATTCTCTCTAGAAATCCAAAAAGTTTCATCTGGATAGGAATTAGCTGCAATATAAATAAATTTTTTTTTGTTTCTATTTTTAAAAAAAATTCATAAAACATTAAAATCAATGTTACCTTAAACGTTTTTTTTAAACTTTAAAATAGATATATTTAAGATAATATCAAATCTCACGTCACATTAAAATGTGAAATATTGTAGAAGTTTAGTATTTTTATAACATAAAATATAACCCACGAAATGTTGGATATTGATCTATCGTTTCTCCCACATACACACACGCGAAATAAAAGCACAAAAGAATAGAAAATAAAATGCTTCCACTTTCTTTGACTGTGACGCAATATTGAAACACTGACTTGGAAAAATTGAAATACGTTTTACTTCATATGGTACTCTAAAATTCAATATCAAAATCATTTTTTTTTTATTTTACTGCGGTTGTAAAATTGTTTTATACCTATTGATGTTTCTATAATTAGAATGATTTGAAAGAAAGAATATTTTCGGTCATGAAAAAAAAATAGAAAAAGAATCTGCACTAAAAAAAAATTTATTCGATTCAAATAATCGATTACTATTATCAAGTAAATATATTTATTTGTATCAAATAATTATTATTTGATTCAATTAAATGGTATTTATTTTAAATACAGAAATTATTGGTTCATACAGTTTGTCTAATACAATTATTTGATTTCAAAAATTATTTCGTTCAAGTAAATATTTATTTGATAATATTCAAGTAATCGAGTATTTGAATCAAACTAATTTTCTTTCAGAGTTTCTTTTACCCCAAAATCGGTATAAAAATTAACTGCGACTTTTACCCTAGTTGAGGGCGTCACCTCCTATGTGAATTAGCATTGGTTAAAATTACCCGCAACAAAATTTATCCAGCCTTTTTTCTGTGGCGTTGGAATAATGAAAAATTTAACTAGAATAATTAAAACTTTAGTTATTTTAGTGAAATCTTTCACTGTTCCAAATAAATATTTTATAATTTACAAATTTTTTTTTTTTAAATAATCGATTAAATTAGTTACAAGAGAAAGATATCGTTTGATGTGTAAAAAATCTA